TCTATTTTAGTTTTCGCAAGGATCTCCGCCAAAATAGCCGACCGCTATGTTTTACACCGTCCAATCTAAACCGAAATCCATCTAAAAGCAATCCGCGCTTCCCGATTGGCCGCATTAAATGCGGGAACTCGTAAAATATTGACACAAGGGATAGGTATCGCGGTAGTGGCTGGAGAGGTGGTCGGGTGGGAGATGGTAGCGGTGATTAAAGACCGTGCTGCTTTTCGTAATATAACCTCGTTTATTTTCCATCCTTCTCCTCATCGTTCTCCTTTTCCTTCTCCTTCTCTCTCCCTCGTCGGCGATTATCGTCGAGCGAGGCGAAATTAAGTCGCTATTGATTGCGCGTGCTAGACAAACGAGAAAGGAAAGATTATTTTTTTTATGCAATACCCCGTCCTAAAATAATTTTGGAGTTATCCGAATAATTCTGCAAATTGAACAACAACAAACCGCGCGGATGAAAGCGAAAACGTTTAAACGCTTCGAAACGGTAAATATTTCTCGAAAATCAGATTAGGAATATTAAGATAAATTTCTCGAGAGAAACAGATATTTCGCGATAGCGTGGTTTGAGAAAGCAATCTTCTAATTATTTCGTAGCGGTGAATTATTTCAGAGAGAGAGAGAGAGAGAGAGAGAGAGAGAGTGGCAATCAGGGTACAATTCGCCTTCTCCATTTCTCTTTCTCGGTAAATAGTGCTGCGTTTTCGATCGGCCGACAAGCGAGACGGGGTCGAGAGAGAGATCGCTCCCGCCATCGAACGAGCCCGTTTCATCGGCCGTCGATGTATACACTGGCATTTAAAGCGATAGATCGCGTAGGGTCGAGTCAATTTTGCCCCGACTTGATTCGCCTCTTTCTCCCCTTCCCTCTCTCTCTCTCTCTCTTCCTCTCTCTGTCTCGCTCTCTTTTGTCCCCGTTTCTCGTCCCTCGCAATTTACATAGATATCTACATCAGTCCTTTCGTCGCGTTCCCATTCGCACTTAATTCTACCTGCGTGTGTGTCTGCCGCTTTGAAACACCCTAAAGACCGCTGCTGATGCGCTAGAATCGCTCGTTGAAACGCTACGCTTTTGGCTCGGTGCGGTTTTTCTTCTTTTCTCCTCTCTCTCTCTCTCTCTCTCTCTCTCTCTCTTTCAGGTTTGTATTTTTAGTCGTTACTTGAAACTCATTCCGATTGAGGTACTCGGATTTAAATTTCAAGTTATATACGAATTGTTCAGTCGAAGCACAATTACAAATACGAGGTAAGATAACAATTATGACCACTTTGAGAATGTCTCCGAAAAATAGAATTATTTTATTAACGACTATTTGAAGAAGAGGAAAGTTTACATTTACAGAAGGTGTTCGAAGTAATTGGTATATTAATGCTACTCCTATTAGATAAATTCTTTTACTCGCATATTTCGAAGATATTCAAGGTGGTTGTAATAGTTATCGCCCTACCTTATGTAATCTCATTATGTTATATCACACGATTTAACTGAGAAACTCAGATCTGAAAAACTCAGATTTCGAGTAACGACTATTAGTACCAGGCCTTCACGAAAAAAAAAAAAAAAAAGGTTTGCTTAAATTTACCTGAAATCGGCGAATCAAACGCGTTTCATTTGAGAGGAACCGAATTCCCGGTTCTTATTGCCAGGAAATTCTGTTTCCCTCAACCAAAGCGCGCGTTTGGTTCGTCGATTTCGGGTAAATTAAGCCGAACTGCTTTTTCCGTATCGCTTCTCTCTCATTAGACCCAATGTGCGGCGCAACTCGAGTGAAACCGGCGATCGATTCGTCTCCTCGCGTCCTCCTCGCGCGTGATCCTCGCGTCACTTCGGGATTGTCATCAGATTCTCAACGTTGCGTTCGCACGGACAAACAGCCGTCGTCGATTGAATTCCGCCGGTTGAAGTGCGCCGAGTCTCCTATATTTATTAGATATTCTACGTGGCGTAATTTCGCAGTAGCTCTGACATCGCCGATAAACGCCGACGCCGCCGCCGTCGTCGTCGCCGTCGTCGTCGTCTTTGTAGTAGCTGGGGAATACCTCCGACGTTCCCGAAGCGATCGGGACGAAACTCTCTGCGAGTCTCGTGTAACGAGACTGATCGGCAGGCGAGTCTCCTCGCGTCGACATTCCGTCGCGAGAGTCCATCCTCACTTTCGGTTCACAAGGGACGTACATGAAGCTGTCGTTTTCACGCTTTTAACACTGGAACTACCGGCGGTTAGCGATTTCTTTCTTCCAAAACGGTCAAAATTTATTCATTTATTAACGGGAACTTCTTCTATCCTTTTAGTAAAATGCACAATACACGAAAATTCGAACAAAAAGATTAACCACATAGAAGAACGATAAGAGAAAAGAAGGGGATCTGCTTCTTTTTCTTTTAATGAGATATGGACAAATAAAGGTAAAAGATAAGGATTTAAAAATGAAAACAAAGACTAAAAAAAACTTGATGCGAGGAAAATAGTTATTTATTTATTTTTAGTTTTATTCAATCAAAAATACAAAACCGTTATAAATTTGAGTAATTTTTATAATAAATCACAAACCAGTAACTTCGACCGCTTTGGTAGTTCAAGCGTTAACAAATTGATTGTCAGTCTAGCTATGAGTTGTCTCAACAACTGCTAAGCGAAAAGAATTTCCCCTTCCGTGCACGTTAACTCACGCAGATTTTTTCTCTTTGCGGCGATAAATTTTTATTGAATTTTGCTAAGTAATAAATATAATTAATTAAATTATATCAAAGTAACCTGCCGACATTTTAAAGCGGCGTTAAAATGTCCCCCGATGTCGGTGTAGCAGTTAACTTGTTAAATTTTGACTCAAGCCGAACCTCGCGATCCTTGAGCTCTCGCGAGTCCACCTTTCGAACGATTGAATATTCGAGGCGCGTCTCTTCAGGTTCGTAATAGAAATTTCAATGCCGTATACTTCCGGCCGTCTAACTTTTCCATTCCTTCCTTAATCGGTGACATTTTCGTGTCCGACACAGACCGGACGCGCGAGGATGGACTTTCGGACCGCTTCTCTTCCCATTTCCTCCTTCCCCATTCGGCGCGATCGCATACATCAGCGAGATTGCGTCTACGACCAGCCGAGACGACGGTACTACGAACGGAAGCCCGATATATAAAACGTCTAAAACGCCGTCTCGACGCGAGAGCAACTAATCGACGTGCACATAGAAAAATAAAGGCGCATCTAAAGCATCGGGCAACCGAGCTCTCTCTCTATCTCTCTCTCTCTCTCTCTTTCTCTCTCCCTCTCTCTCACTTTCTATCTATCTATCTATCTATTTATCTATCTCTTTCTCACTCTCACTCATTCACCGAAATTATATCGGTTCTCGACACGATCTCGTGGTCCTTCGTCACCCTCGTCGTCCAATATTTGCCGACGTCGCGCTCTCGCGCGCGCTTCCATTCGAGACTCGAGCTCAATTCGCGAGTTTGACGAGCGCCGCTCTGACGCTCCCGTGAATTTGAAAGATTTTAATGAACCTAACAGCCTTGCGCTTCCCGCTCACGTCCGCTCACGTCGCGGACATCTCGTTGCGAGGACTGGGAGAGTAAAAGGAACGGCTCTTGTCAGAAATTGCAAGGTTGCTGCGCCGATCTGGAGTCGTGTCTTCGACGAAATTGCGCCGATTAGCACGCGTTCGCGTAGCTCTTATCAATTTTTTCCTTTCTTCGTCTCTATCTAGTTACCCTTCTCTCTCTCTCCCTCTCTCTCTCTCTCTCTCTCTCTTTCTTTCCCATTGTCTCTTTCGAGCAATTATCCAAGAGTGAGCGGAGACGCCCGATTACGCCCATTAGATCGACCCAGACAGCATCGTCTTAGCGCTTCTTCACCGAAACGACGAAAGTTAATAGGCGCATCTCGAAGGAGAAACGTTGGAGCCCAGGTCGAGGACCAATCACCGGGATTGTTGATGTACAGGGTGTTTCCAGTCGCAAGAAAAAGTGAGAGAGAAACGTTGCGCGAAAGTAGCTTGAAAAATATATCAAGACTATCTATAAGTAATGAAATATCGTAAAGATGTTTACATTTACGTTACTTTTTATACTTCAGTTGAGTTGTAAATAATAGTATGTAAAGAATATTTTCATAGTATGCTATTTCTCGTGCATAAAGCACTTATATTATTGATTGGGAATAATATCTTTGTACGACTTCTGAATAAAAAGAAAAATTATTTTGGAAATTCATTTTTCTCTGAACGATCAAACGTTTTCCATATTTTTTAGTTTTTTATTGTTTCAAACAAAAGCGCAACGTTTTCAATCGTTTCTATCACTTTTTTTTTTTACATTTTCTATCGACTTTTAAACGTTGATAGCCAAAAAGTGCAGATACAATTACAATTCGAATCTACAAAAACGACCATTGCTGAAGTTCAGTAAACTCAGAATTTCTTTTTCTTTCAACTTGTTAAAAATTTGTTCTGTTTCCGTTTGAAGTCTTGAAAAAACTTAAAAATGTAGAAAAAAACTCGATCGCTCGGAACGGATTTTCGAAGGCGATCTTTCGTTCCTCTCGAGAACTTTCCATTTTGCACATAGGACATATAATTTCTTAACCGTCGGTGTGTTTCATTTCGAAATACTTGATTACCTGCAGGTACTCTTAATATATATTTCAAAGAGAATTTCTAATAAAAGTTAAGTAACTCGGATTAAATCCCGGCATCGAGTCGACAGCGTGAGATTCGGTAAGCCGACGGAAGAAGCCAGCCGGTTGGCACTTCGGGATGAAAAATTGTCGGGTGGAAGTTTCTTTCGTTAGGTTACGACTTCTCTCACACCCTGTACTTGAGCGCGCGCGAGTAACGAAGTGTACCTGTTTGCTTTTACGGTCGGCGCCGATATACTTTCGGCCCACGTTCCCTGCTACCCCTGATCGCGTGCAAACACACGTGACACGCAGCTCGACGCCAATTAATGTATCATGGTTGTATTTACTTACAAAAACAACAAGCACTCACTGGGTACGTTCGTACGTTTATTCGTTCGTTCGTTCGTTCGTTTGTTCGTTCATTCATTCATTCGTTCGTCCGCTCGCAAATAGTGCGCTACGTATACATATATTTACAGTCCCTCTCTCCGTTTTATCACTATATGGTACATTTATTGTACAGGCGGTATCGCGCGCGATGGATCGTATCGATAAAGAAACGCGAGCGCGGCTGTCTCACGCGCCACAAAATTCGCTGCCGAGGCTCTTCGGGATGAGTTCTGTTCGGCGACGGTACTTGGCTTGTGGCCGATTAAGAGGTAATAATTGAAAATTAATACGATCAAGAGGTATGCCAAATTCACAAATTACGGGTCATGGTGTTTATGGTCTGCACTGTCCGAATACACGAGAACTCTCTCCAGATATGTCAGTTGAAAAATTAAAACTCAGGTATGTCGGTTTACAGAACAACCTCTGACTCTGATTTTTCTTCCGTGATTCAATGACAGAGATTAGAGAATAATTGCATAAAATTGAGAAATGATTTAAAAAGTTCGGAACTTACACTACAAAATAGCATTGTCAAATAAATTACTTACCGCTGATTTTTTATTTGCATTTTCACATGAAGAAAATTCGACGAAATTTCAGCACAATGAAAAATCAAACGACGCTAATAATATAACCGAACGCGCTTGCAAACGGAAACTACCACTTCAGCTCGAACTATTTCACATAGTAGACGAAGTTCATGTAGTGTCCGGCAGGACTTAATACTACAGGGTCGAGAAACATGGGTATGTCGATTTACCATACCTATATCAGTTTTGGCGCTTACCTTTATCTTAGAAAAATATAATTAATTGCGGCGGCAATTAATAACAGATCAGAGATAGACCGGTTATTATTCGCGATTTTCAGTTCCAAGTACTCTGAGAAGAAAAAGCGATCGAATCGACATCAGCGGTCAACTTTACTTCCAGAAAATATCGTAACCACTGAACGAATTACGCGTTGGCGCAACGAGATATTACGTTGATACAGTTATCGGCCAGATCGTAATTGCTGAATTCGTCGATAACTCATTACAGCGACTGTATAATTTGTTCAATGGACTAACCGCTGTGCTTACGGAAATATTGTTCGTTTAAACAAAATTCCGTTGATTCTACCATTTTTCCCTCACCGAGTATTCAGATAATATTCATCGGTTTGAGTATCGGCCAGGTATCCGATTATTCGTATAGTATTCGATTACTCGGGTAATACTCGCGACTTTGAGTTCCGGATGGATATCGGTGGTGGAAAATATCCGATTTAAGACGCGACACGCGTCAGCTGCGGACGCAATTTCACAATTTCCTAAATCGGTGATACGACACGACGACGCAGCGCCGTCGCTCGCGATCCGGAAGCACATTGCCGCAATTAACAGTGAAATTATTACCGGGTGTCGGTTGAAATTCGGCCTGTGACTGAAAATTCGACGGGTGGCGCCTGTCGTCCTTCGGATGCAGCGGCGGATCGATAGCATCACGGAGACGCGGCGTCTTTATGCGTACTAATCCATCGCGGCGTTAATTGTATTATTTTCGCGATTACCATAATATTACACACACGTGCACGGTCTCGCCGTTAATAAGTGTCGCAAGTTACATATGATACAGCCTCGCGTGCCGGCGCTAGTAATTACATCTAATTAGCACTGCTCCCTCTCGCTCCCTCCATCTCTCCTTTCATCTCGCCTTCTTTCTCTCTTTTTCTCTCCCCCCCCTCCCTTTATTCGTCTATCTCGCCTGCTAACTCCGGGCTCCTCGACGTACTTACAGGGTAAACGCAGATTAACAAATCTCCCTGCCCCCCCCCCTCTCCTATCTCCTTTCCTTCCTGTATGTCTCGCGAGCGTGGCTATTCGTATTCCGCGTAGCTTCACGACGACGCTGCGATCTTCCTCCTTCCAACTTCCACTTCCGAGCTGAGCCCGGAAGGAAGGAAAAAGATCAACGTACGACTTTCGTTGTTAATCAGTCCACGAACGCGCGTAAGAAGAATCTCATCTCCGCCTCGGAAATTGATCGCCAACACGGCGGAATTGGGAGAAGTTGCGGTTCGTATCGCGAGAAATTTCACTTCGTACCGCGATCGCTGCTCTGACCGCGTTTCCCGAAAGTATCCAATTAACAGCGCGATATTACGAAGTAATTAACAACGATGAGAATTAAATATTGAATATTTTCGAGAAGCGATTACTCGTCGAAATTGTTTCTTCGGAACGCGTGTGGGAGTTTCCTCGATGGCGAGTATTCGCAAATTGATATCCGCTGCGCTGCGGATTTTCCGAAAGGAAACGAAAAGAAGGTGGGGAGAGATCCTTGCTTCGGCCAACGTACCCGTTAATCGATCTGCGATCTAGAAATATTTATTCCATCGATCGCCGACGTCGACGTCCGCCTATGTCGGATAGTGTTCTGAGAGAAAAAATATGTAGAAAGTAAGAAATATTTATTCAACATACATCGTCTTAAATTGATATACATTTTCTTGAATCTGTTAGCTTTAGTGTGAAAGCGATTGTGTTAGAGGAGAAGCATCAGAATAGACGTATCATTGTCGAATAAATTACTTACCGTCGATTTATTACTTTAATTTTCACGAAAAGACAGCTCGATAAAACTTCAGCACGACGAGAAATTCAACAATCTTAATAACATAGTCGCATTTGCAAACGGAAACCGATTTCAGCTCCGACTGTACACAATAGACGAAGTTTTAAGTTCTGTCCAACGGATTTCAGCGCATTGCAGCCGAGAAACATTGGTGTGTCGGTTTACCATACCTATATCAGTTTTGGTGCTCTTCCCCCATCAGTACCCAACGAATAAATATTTTTATCTGTTAGATACTTGTTCTCTCAGTGTGATCCGCGGCGCGAGTAACTCTCGAGTCGAGGCTCCGCGGAGCCTCAAATGTTGAAGCGATAATCGCTCTGGGCGGTGCCGATTCGACTCGCTAATAACCCGTTTTAGCTCACCCCTTTGTCGGAAAACGTTAATTTCGCGTGCGCGAGTTTCGAATGCATTTCTCGCGTTCCGCTGCGACGCGATTCGTTGATCCCGACGGCACGAATTTCATTATTGATTGCATTTCGGGCGATTACGTAGCCGGACAATTATCTGCCGATCGCATCGTCACTCCGGAAACGACGTCGACGACGAGTGGGTTCGAGGAACGCACAGCACGGCTGCCGCCGCTCGCCTAACCCTTAAACGCGTGGGTATGCATTTTTATACGTCGCGCTTTATCGCGATCGTAATTCACCGTTGAGCGCCGCGGAGCGGCAGTTTAATAATAAATCAATGGAAATAGCAGCCCGCGGGAGCTGCTGCGCGGAACGGCTTCGAAAATAATATTAATGGCTTCCCCCGCTTCTATTTTTGCCGAATTGAGCAACGTAACAGCGCATTCGTAAATTGTTAAATTCGGAAATGGATACATGTAATTTGGAATATTAACATTTACAAATGCGCGATGCTCGAAATAATAAACCCCTCTTCTTCCTGTTGTATCTCTCACGCTTCCTCCTCTTAAGAGAAGAATTATCATCGCGAAATCTATCGCGAATTCGACACGCGATTTCATACTTTCCCGGGTGTGGGAAAAAGCGCAACAATGTCAGGGGGGGTGGGGGGAATGACGGAAGGGGATATTAAAAATTCTCACCGGATTTTTCCTTTCTTTATCGACGCGTGGACGCGCGTGAAACGGCAGAAAATACGTGACATTCATTTCTCTCATGAAAACCGGAATATATTCGGAACGATACAACGATAAGGGGTGTCCCCAGGAAGATTGAAAAGAAGAAAAAAAAAGAAAAACGAGAAGAAAGGGATATTGAAATATCAACACGGGTGAAAAAAAAAATTGGGCGTTTCGCGGGAAATAAGACCGCGATATTTCTTTAGCTATCCGCCGATACGTATCGCATGACGTGCGAAAAGCGCGGAGGATATAATTACGCGCAATGTGCATTTAAAGGGGTTAACGCCGCTGTCGTCGTTATGCGCGCTATGCGAGAAATACGCCCGCCGATTAACTCGGCGACCTAATGTATATGCGCGGAATCGTAGGAACTTACCGGCTTCGTGAGCCGCGCTTCCGCATTCAGTCCTTTCCTCTCCGAGAAGCCTCGGGGTTTCGAGTCAACGTCCGAAACGCGTAGCACAGTCGAGGTAATTATTTCAACGTTTCCAGCTGGGAAATATTCCGAATGAACGAGGTTCGAAATGATGCTCCAGTGAGAGCCATTGAACGACAAGGAGGGCGCGCGCATATTAACACGTCCGGTGACCGACATTTCGTGACACTACCGCGTCTTTAATTAAGTTATTGTGAAAAAAGATGGGTCAGAATAACTCGAATCGTGCTGAACGAACTGAATTTCAGGCTCGTACACGGCCAACTAAACCGCCGACCAATTCTCTCGGCGAAATTCCAGTGTCTTTCGACGTCCGATTTGTGTGAAAACAAGTCGATATTTAATTTAACAAGGCGACTGCGCTGTTGAGTCGACATATTGTCGGCTGTATTTATCGTATGAATGACTTAACCCTTCCGTTTAAAAGTGGACAGTGAAACGAAAGTTCTGGATTCAGGTAAATTATTATTCCAATACTCCTTGATCGGAATAAAATATAATCACTTAATCCAAGTAAAATTTACATGATCCAAGTAAAAATCTGCTAAGGAATATTGGACTAATTCCCTGCATTTAAATTTAATACCTTTTTCTATTTAGAATTACTCGTATTATACAGTTGGAACGACCTTCCAATATTTGAATTTTTCGTTTTCGTTTTTTTGTTTTATTGCGTACATATTTGACTACCTCAATTCCGATAAACTTTCTTTGTTGACTAAATTTTTCGGCTCCATATATCTTCTTATTTCAAATTACTCATTCGACCTTTTTTCCAACTAGATAGATTCTACCGTCACAAAATTTGAGGAATCCTTGATTCTTCCCTTCCAATCCTAGAGAGAAGATAATTATAAAATATAATCAAATGCATCTCTCCGAGAAATTGGTGGTACGACCGATAAGAAGCCAGTGAAGCATACACTTGTTCCGACTTACACCCGTTTTCCCGCATCTTCGGCAATTTCGCCGTTAGTCGCGCAATCGGCGGAAATCGACGTGCGGCGGTCGACGCGTCAAAGTCATGCTTTTCGCTGGTCGCGTCCGGTTTGTAAGTAAAACCATCGCTCGGTTGCTACGCGAAATACCCAGTTTCGAGTTTGTATCAACGTGTATTACTTCAAATCGGCGGTGGAAACGAGCGCCCGTCATACATCACACGTCGCCAACAGGAGTCGTTACACAGGGCGGTTGGACGAAAAAGAGAACGGCGCTTTTCGACGGAAAGCCGCGCGGCGACGATTAACGATCGACCTAACGCCGTCCTCCCTCTCTACCTCTCTCCCTCTCTCTCTCTCTCTCGTCGTATAAAGTTGCGAGTAACACGAAAAAATCGGTGGCGCGTATAGTCGATGGAGCCGGGCAATAAGCGTTAATTGCGAACTCGACTGGTTCGCGCGTCGGCTGGCGCGAAAATCGCCGAAACGAAGCGCTCGCGCAACTCGATTCCGCCTGGCAATTCGTTGTTAAAACAAAAAGAGGAAGAGAGAGAAAGAGAGGGAGGGAGGGAGAGAGAGAGAGAGAAAGTGAAAAACAAACGGGGGAAAAAGAGAGTGAACTCGCCGCGGAGGCGGGGGACAGGGAAAAAAGGAGTGAGAGAGTGCTTGTGGCGGGGGGGCGGGAGCGGATCTTTTTGTGCCGGGCTACACGAATTGCGACGATGGCGTCTTCCAACAGCTGGCGCAGCACGGCAAAGCGCTCTTCAGGGTGTCCTTGAAGGCGTCGCGAAAGTCGCGGTTGAAGTACGCGTAGATGAGCGGGTTCAGGGCGCTGTTGAAGTAACCGATCCAAAAGAGCACCGACACCACCGTGTCCGGACAGTAGCAGGTTTCGCCGCATAGGGACGTCGTCAGGTACCTGGAAAAAATGTAACGCCGCGTTTTTACTCTTTCCTCGTCTCTCTCTCCCTCTCTCTTTCTCTCTCTCTCTCTCTCGTGGGAGGAGTGTTTTAAGTGTAAAATTAACTGCACTTTTTTCGCGCTTGTCACCGGAACACGTTTTTCACAACGCGTACAATTTAAATTCTATGTATGCTATGTTGTTATTATTATTATACTTTATTATTATTATTATTATATTATGTTTATGTATATATACAATTAAAATGCTTGTTACTGTTAGCCACAATCTTCTGTCATACTTCAAATAATTGTCTCATTCCGCGATGGCTCTAATGAGTTGATGAAATCGTGGCGAACCGAGTGCCTAAAGTTTCATCCGATTAATTCAACGATACGTTTCTATTAATATATTGATATTGTGTAATATAAATGTATAAAGAGTCGGTTTATAAAATTGTCTAGAACAAAACGCGACGTAGAGGGCCAATTCGACACAGGACTGTGAAGAGTTGAAAGCGTGCGCTTCGAAAACAAAGTTACATTTATCTTCCACCGCCATTTTCCCGAAACGCCGTTTCGCGCAACGCGAATTTATTATATCTGTCGAACAACATTTTCCGGTTTGCTTTCAACGGGATGGAAGATAAACTCACGGTGTCGTATCATTCGCATTTCCTATATTTCCTCGGGCTTAAAACCGGTATTTTCTTAACGCGGAATAACAAAGTGAAATACATAAATATTCAACTAAAAATATTCGTAAAAATATAACGTCAGAAATAAAATGAAATATGAACGTAAAGATCGCCTGTGTTGCAAAGCCGTGGAAAAAAATTCGCTTTACAGCCGCGTTGAATTTATACTTTCGAAAACAAACGGATCCAGGATAGACGGAAAAAATGTATGGAAGATACCATCGTCTAAAAATATGAATTTACGTTATGTGTGGAAATATTTTTTTATATAAAGCACACGCTCTTTCCCACATACTGTTATCGTTAAATTACGGCAATATCAATGCGTATCGCCATAAATTACATCGGCCACGTCGATTCGCCTGTATTCTCATCCATGACTTCTTTCCCCAACGGATTTGACCGCTGAATCTCGATCTCGATTATTGATGTTACGGTCTTGCCGAAACGTTTCATCGACGGATTCAGAGGATGTGAGGCGCTCATTCCCGATGATTTACGATATTATCGCGTTTTCAGATCAGCCCAGGAAATCCGTATAATTCGAGCGAATTCGGAACTGTAAGTTACGATCGTGCGCGGAACGATTCTCGAATTCTTTTATTCGGTCGAGGCGACGATGGGCGCTATTTTGGCGAATATTACTATGCACGATATTAATTAATTAATGTCTACTAATTATATCGTCATATTTCTTATTAAAAATCAAATCGATTAATCTCGAACTATTTTCTTTTAAAGTTTAATGAGAAATAATTATTAGTAGCTACCAATTGAGAAACACTCTGTATTTATTGTTCGAAATTTCCTGATCGTCGATTTTTAAAGTCTCGAAATTTTTCAACCCTGATTTCGAAAAATCACCTCGCATCTCTCTTTCTCTCTTTCTCTCTCTCTCTCTCTCTCTCAGGTTCGCAATATTGACCGTGCGTCTCGCGCGAGTTCGGATATAGATAGCTACGTCCGAATATATTTACGAGATTTGTTTCGCGCTTGCAAAAGGGAGCGCACGAGGCTAGGAAAACGAATTTTCTTCCACGGTTCTCGCAGGCAGCATTTCCCCAACGCTGTCGCGCCGACTATTTGCATATAGATGCGCCTGCATTATGCGGATGTACCGTGATATTTTAAATCAATGTCTCGACGCATCCCTCGCCCTTTCTGCGTGCGATCGACGCGAAAGTGAAGTTCATGTTCTGAATTCCCGGCGCGAATGTCCGCACGTGGCATCATCGATTGTCGGTATTTCTCCCCCATCCCCTCATAATTTAGAGATATGTCATTGAGCCTCGGAAAACAATTGACGAATTTGTTCGACACACACACATACACGCATACACACACACACATACAGTCACGGTGAATAGGATGAATTTGCAACGGACAAAACGAAATTTAATAGGCAAAACGGAAGTTTTATTCCACGGATAAAACGAAATTTTATTTATAATGGACGGGGCAGAATTTTTATTTTAACGAGGCGTCTGTTGCAGTTTTTCACTTACCTCGGGTGAACTTTTTAACTGGTAATTGCCGCGGGATCCCCCGAGCAATTAACAATTGAAAATTTTCATGCCGTGTCCCAGTCGGGATTAAGAAAAACCATCGTTTTTAATACGGATGTTTTTAATTATTCGGAAGGATTTAAATTATGAAGATCACGGGAATAAAGTAGGAATGAAATTGCTCACAAAAATGCAATGGGCAATAACCATTTCAGCAGTTTTATATGACGTTGAGAAATTATGAAGTGAAAAATTCAACGCATTGAAAATTGCTTTATTGTAGTTTTTCGATCTTTATACTAAAATAAAATTATGCTGAATTTATTTTTTGAAGAGTCTGCTCTTCCTAAAAATTTATTTATCTATGAGTATATCTTCATTAAGAATGTCTTAACTAATTTTTCTCTCAAATTTGTGGAGAAAATTTCAACGACATATCGGAACTGTTTTATTGTGATTCTGCGTTTTCTTGCCGAGGTAAATTCACATCAAATTTCTTTCTTGAAAAATCTCTCTTCTCGCTCTAAGAATCTATTTATCAATAAATTAACTTTCTTCGAGAAGATTTTATCTAATTTTTCTGCCGAATTCGTGAGGAAAATTTCAATGATATATCGAAATTCTTTCATTGTGATTCTATGCTTACTGAGGCAAAATTTATCTCAAATTTTTTCCCTTTCTACATCTCTCTCTCTCTCTCTCTCTCTCTCTTTCTCTTCTCTTTTTTCTTTCTTTTTTTCTTTAAGAATCTATTTCCTATAAAAATCTATTTATCTATTAATTTACTTTTTTAAGAATGTTTTATCTTTAAATTTTCTGTCGAATTTGTGGAAAAAATTTCAATGATATATCGAAATTATTTTATTGCGATTCTACGCTCGTTATGTTGAGGCAAAATTTATCTAAACGAAATTTCCTTTTTTAAGAAAATCTATTCTCTAAGAATCTATTTATTAGTTAATTTGTTTTCTTTCAGAATCCTTTTTCTCTTTTTTTTTTGGCCGAGTTCGCGGAGAAATCGCTGGAAGAAAACATGTTCGAGCAGGCGTTCCGTGTGGACGAAAATAACGATAAGAACGTAATGCGCGTTCGACCGCGTGTTCGACCGCACACGGTCATATCATTATCAATGCACGAGGCATCGATCGCGCTGACGATACGGATTTAGAACAATACTAAACAGATTGACACAGATTTGCGGTCGCGCGTCGCGCCCATCCGACACGGCTATCTCCATTTGACGAGAATTACATAAAGCCACCGATATCAATCAAACAAATTGGACTCTGAAAACTCCCGCTTGATCGCTGCAAATCCCGCTCTTACGGATTCATCTCGCCGTATTGTATGTTCACCGATATTTCTACATTGTCGGCACACGATTTTTCGTAAAGCACGCGTTGAAAAAGTGTGAAAGAGACAGGGAAAGGGCGGAGGACGGGAAGGAGAGAAAGAGAGAAGAAATATGAATCTCGTCGTACTAAAATATTTGTGGATCAGCGTCAACAAACGATCGTTTCGTACAAATATTTCACAACAAATATTTTATTTGCTGTATATACAGTCGCGGAAGTATTTTTACGAGCCATAAGAATAAAATAAAAAAGAAAAAAATAACTGTTGTCCCAGCAATTTTTGTGATTTTAATTGTTTCGATAGGTTTTTATTAATTTCACTGTGCTGAGCGTTAAAATGTTAATTTAAAAGAGAACCACTTTATATATGATTTGTTTATTGAGATTATTTCCACTCCAGCTTGTAATTCAATCGTATAAATCAATTTAACATAAATTATTTGTTTAATACGATGTAAATATTTAAGTCGTAATTTATCGTTACGGCAGAGCCAAAATGCAAATACACTCACGTTCAGGTAAACATATTTCTGTTCGTGTCAATTAATTAAACAAGAGAGAGACAGAGAAAGAGAGAGAGAGAGAGAGAGAGAGAGAGAGGGTCGTTGCGAAGTATTATATAAATATGAAGCGGAAGTGAAACTTCAAAAGTGAAGTTCGGAAACTCCACCGAAAATGTATTATTCACACGATAAGAGAGTGAGAGAGTTGGCTGCCCGACGAAGCCGATAATTCCAAAATGCTTTCGAAAATTCGCGAGAACTATGTGAAACTATCCGCTAAAGTAAAATGCGGACGCTTTCAGGTCGGATCGATACACTTTGTACATTTGCATGAATAAAAACTGAGTTGCCAAAAACTCCGGGCCGGCGTTCAGCGTGTTACGCGCGATCGGTCTTTGTCCTTTGCTCTGTCTCTCTCCCTTTTTCTCTTTCGTTCGATTTCCATAGAGAACGCATTTTGCCGGTCCTGTAACTTCATTATGCCGCCGTTTATCCGTCGGCCGTTTAACGAAATTTTCTTCATGCTCTCGCTCGATTTCTATCGACGCACTCGTAACGTCATATTCCGCGGCAGCCAAGTCAATTGGCGCGCACACGCGAGAACGATAAGAGAAACAATAAAAAACAAGTTGGAACAAAGTGGTCTCGCTAATTTTATAGGCAGTTTAACGTCGGCGCAACGAACATTACTTTGGAATTGTCTAATCACTTTGGAGAATTTAGTTTCGAATTAATTATATTTAATATTGAATACCGTACATTGAATAAGCAGAATCGGAAAAATGTCTTTTCATACTTCTAACGCTAAATGAATCATTTGAGGTATCTTTTCACTATTGAAAAATAGTCTCTGAATCTCTGTTGAATGAAACAACATTTACTTCGGTAGACAATTTACAAGAGGCTCTTTCTGAATTAATAATATATTTATTTAACATTCACGAGTATTTATTTCGCGTTGACGGCCTGAGAAAAGCACCTTTGAAATTAATCGTTTGTTTACTTAAAGCTGAATTGTATACCGAATAAATAGTAAATTTAAGAAACGTCTTCTCAAGCTCTCGATGTTAAATGAGTTATTCACGATATATTTTGCCTCGAGAAGTAGCTTATGAGTTTCTGTAAGGGGAAAATAATCGTCTCTCGCGCACTTTAACGCGTTGGCCACTTTTCCGCGAAATTTCGCTGAAATCGCAAATTTTCCTGCCGGTGAGCGTGCCTCTCGAGTAATTGAGTGACCACACCGCGTTACGCCCGAGCAACCAGGAAGTGCTCCCGCGAGAGTCGCACGCACCCTTCTCCGAGAGTTGCAGGCACCTTCCGTCGGCGAGAAATCCATCGATCCGTCCGACCTGGCTTTGCGGGCCGCATCTCCTTCTTCCGTCTTGCAATCTATTTTAGTACTTTGCACCGAGAAGCGTCTCCGCGCAGGAGATGACAGTTTTTCCCGTCGCGCGCGGTGGGCGGGGAGACGAATTTTCATATTGCTCGCGCGCGCGCTCAGGGTCCCCCCTCGGTCGAGCAAATAGTCGAACTTGCGCGAGTAAGTCCGCGGAGAGATCGAGCTAAGCCCTCGGCAAACTCCATAGAGATGCACTCTGGGCCCGCATTAATAAAACATGGGATGAGCGGCAGGACTTCTCGCGATTTCGTTCTCTATCTTTCCCCCGCTTTCCTTCGGTCCTTCTCTCTCTCTCTCTCTCTCTCTTTATACATATATATATATA